GGGACCTCTTCGTCTGTAGTGGGAAGAGGCTGGGCGCAACTGCGGGGTACTGTAAAAAAAAAAAAAAAAGATTGATGCCAAGTTGTATCTGAGCTGAGTAACGATGGGACAGCATATAGGCATCCCGTGGCAATGCTTTGGGAAAGTTAAGTTACGAATTTTCCAAAATGTGGGCTTGGCTGTCTAGCAGTGCTGGAGACAAACCCAGCCGAAAGTGAAGGGAGTGCAACCATGGAAGTGTACTGGATTCGTGTTGAAGGGATGATATTGTGAGGTTAACAAATGAAAGAAGCAAATTTACCTGTCTGAAATCATGTTACATTATTAAAACGGTTCTAAAAGCTTTGTGTTATGTTGTTTGTTTTGCCTTATGTATTTTTTTTTCCCAAGTTTGGACGGTGACAGTGGATAAGCTGGTTTTGTTCCTAGTCTCTTGTTTCCTGCCTTGCAGGCTAGCCAGGTGCTGTCATTTTTGGACTGTAGTTCATCTAATGAAATACTTGGGTTTAGGTTAAGGTTGATTTAAAAAAAATGGAGTTATCTCTATTGTTCTTCAGTTATATCTTCACACAACTGAAATATGGGCTCACATTTGACCTCTGAGTATGCATTTGAATAGCTACCAAAATGGAAGTCCTGCATTTTTTGTTATATTCTGTTCCAGGTGTTGCTAAATGTATGCAATTTTGTTCTGCAAAAAGCATCTTTATTACCCTATCTTTTTACTCTTATAATTTAATAAAATAAGACGCTATAATGTAATAAAATAAGACAAACCTGACTTACATTTTGGATTGGTTTTGGCTGCTCTAGCCGCGAGTTCAGTTGTCTGTCAGAGGCCAGGAGTCGCAGCTGCCCCTACCCAGGCTTTGCACAGGGAATGAACTGAAGCGTATGACTCCCAAAGCTTGCTTGCTTTTATTTTTTAGTTTTAGTTTGTCTTGTCCTTTAGATTAGTATGTGTGGGGTTTTGTTTGTTTAGTTTTTTAATATGGTGGAGGGCCGTATTGCCATAACAAAGTAATTTAATGTGTGAATGGAGGCTCTCGTGAAACATATAATTTCTTGGGTCGCCCCTCTAACCTAAACTTAGGTGTTTGTCTTCTTGCCCCCTCCGTGCACCAGCTTATCAAACTGGACAGTGAAAGGGAATATTTTTGGATTAAAGGCAAGCTGTTAAAGTTATGCCTTCTCTTGCTGCCGGATGATTTTAATTAGATGTGGTTGTAAAAAGTAAATACTAATGTTATGTGTAAAGAACCCTTTAAGCTAAAGTTTGTAGGCTCGTTTGTCTTGCCATTGATGAATTTGAATCCTCTGCAACTTGCGCGGTGCACATCTCTGTATGTGGCTTTGGGGCTGTCCCGCAGGTCCGGGGAGAGCACTTGCAATGCCCCGCTGGCTTTTGTCACCAGCGTCCTTCATGTGGCAGGAGTTTCCCATCCTGTTCCTTGCCACTTGTGGTTGCCACTAAGCGGCTTCCCAGGTGGGAAGCCTGGAGCGCGACAGCCGCCGGTGCAGATTCTCCACTTCTCCCTCGGTGGGGCCCCTGGCAAGCCGGCAGCTACAGCTGGCACTTGCCTTTCTCCCGGCTTTCCTTCCTTGCTGGTGATCAAACTGTCGTGCTTTAGTATCGTGTGCTTGGACCACTAACAAGCAAGAGCTGTGGTCAGCCTGACCCTGTCCTGTTACTTGCGGCTGATGTCCAGAGACTAATTTTTTTAAAATTATTTTTAAAAGACAGTTGCTGATTATAGCCGGTGATGTCACGTGTGGCACGTGCTGTTATACAGCACATAATGCGAACTTTATCTTCCTTCTGAAACCCCT